TTAATGTAATGACAGTACTATCAATTAGTAAATAAAGTCTCACATTTTATGCTTATTCGCAGTAAAAAAAAAAAAAATAATAATTCTTATTTTTAAATATTATTAAAAAAATATATTTTTATTAATTTTTAAACAAATTTATTTGAAAATGTTTATAATTTAAAAAATAAGTTTTTATTTTTTTATTAATTTTTTTTTTTAAAGATAAAAGATATATATGACACATGATTTTTATTGATTTATACATACAGTATATAGCAAAATAATTATAATTATATATCTTATCTTAATATTAAACATGTATTTAATTACTTTTTTAATAAAAATTATAAAACATATCTTATATTAACATTAAAAGAAATAATAATCACAATATTTTAATATAATAAAATAATTTTATTTTGATATTTTTATCATATTATCAACTTTGTTTATTATACTGTATCTTATATTATTTTTGAAAAACAAATATATCAAATTTTAATTACATATAACTTAAAAGTCCTGTATAACATGGCTGCAACACTTCATGTAATTAGATAACAGTTTACCTAGTTTTAATTCAGCCCATTCAGGACTCAATATAGATTTAAGAAAAAAATTTTTTTATATTCTTAATTGAGGTAATCAGGCATTTAACTTGTTGATAGTATTTTATATATCATGTAAAAATGTGCAAATATAAATCACATATACAAATCAATAAAGAATTATGTGTGCCCTGCTAAAAAAAACAAACGTAAGATATCAATTGAATACTTTGTTCACTTATCTATAATATGTCATGTCAGATCAAAGCAGTATATAAATTTAAGAAATGGGCATTCGAAATGTTAAAAATATTTTAATTAGTAAATTTCCGATGATCCACTGGCCTGGAAGTATATAATAAGACTAAACAATATAATAATAATCGATCGATGAACATTATGCATTGAATTTCAGCGTCTAAAAGTCATTAACAAGAAAACATTAGTGGCACCATAAACAGGATGAGTCATTAAACGTTAGAATCGGATGTTATCGATGATGACTCAAATGGGAAGAAAGCTGCCCAATAACTGCCATTACAGTAAATTTCCAAGACGCGTGTTACAAAAAAAAAAAAAAAAAAAAAATTTTATGATGATCAAAATTTTCCAGTTCGCACGTACTTACAGTATAAAAAGGGCATGATGCTCTAGCATTTTAACTTGTATCGGGACAATAAACAAGAGTCGTTCTATTCGCACTTCAAACGGCTTAGCAATAATGAATTCGACTCATGCTTTCATGTCTTTACGATGTACGGCTTCCGCTTATTCCGCTCTCGTTTCCACTTCACATGGTGCATCCATAAGATTGAGCAATAAAATAAAAAATAAAGTAAACACGTTCGCTGCCTTATCTGATGGCTTTCAACGACGGTGGAAAGCTAGTGCTGTTGGGTGAGCAAATTTTCTAGAATTTCATAAATTTAGGGATTGATTGCTCCATAAAATACACGATGTCATTTTCTTTTTTAATATTGGCTTTTTATATAGATATTTTTTTTATTCATTTCCTCTAAATTCCGTCGAGCGTATTTGTATCTTAGTATACTAACTTTTCTTTCTTTGGGAACTTTATGATAAAAGCACACATTCGCAACCCGTATCAATTCCGACTCTTCCTCCATCCCTACGGACACACAAGATTCCAAATTCACCAGAAATTACATCCGAACCAGCCCCAGCTTACGACAGTTCTTTTGTAGGTTTAACTGGTGGACAAATATTTCATGAAATGATGTTGCGTCACGGAGTAAAACAAGTATTCGGTTATCCAGGGGGCGCGATTCTCCCGGTATTCGATGCTATCTACAATTCAGAACATTTTGATTTTGTACTTCCGAGGCACGAACAAGGTGCTGGTCATATGGCGGAAGGTTATGCGAGAGCGAGTGGTAAACCTGGTATCGTTCTTGTAACTTCTGGACCTGGCGCAACAAATGTAGTGACTCCTATGCAAGATGCGTTATCAGATGGTACACCATTAATCGTGTTTTCTGGGCAAGTGCCTACATCGGCCATCGGAACAGACGCGTTTCAAGAAGCTGACGTCGTTGGTATTAGTCGGGCTTGTACAAAGGTACATAATATTTTAAGAAATAATATTTTTTTTTAATAGAGATCAATCTAAAAATAAGTTTATGTTATAAGTGGAATGTAATGGTAAAAGATGTTGCTGATCTACCACGTCGCATCACTGAAGCATTCGAGATCGCCACCACAGGACGTCCCGGACCTGTGCTTGTAGATCTTCCAAAAGATATGACTGCATCCATACTTAGAAAACCGATTCCCACGCAATATACACTCCCATTCCGCGCATTTAATGACGCTCCTGCATTAGCTTCTTCTATGATTGCTGGTCCAATGATTCGTCGTGCGGCTGAGTTGATCAACAAGGCAAAACGTCCTCTCATATATGCAGGTCAAGGAGTTCTTGCATCAGAAGGTCCAAAATACCTAAGAGAAATTGCTTCTATTGGTAACATTCCAGTGACCACTACTCTCCAAGGACTCGGCGCATTTGATGAATTGGATCCTCGAAGTTTGCATATGTTGGGTATGCATGGCTCTGCCTATGCTAACCTAGCAATGCAAAATGCTGATGTCATTGTTGCTTTGGGTGCAAGGTTTGATGATCGTGTGACTGGTCATCTAGCACGTAAGTATTATCTATGACACTTTATAATTTATAATTATTCGAGATTACAAATAATTGTTTACGACAGATTTTGCACCGGAGGCGAAACAAGCAGCAAAAGAAGGAAGAGGCGGCATTATTCATTTCGAAATAAGTCCCAAAAACATAAATAAAGTTGTCCAGGCAACTTGTGCTATTGAAGGTGATGTGTCTGATAACCTTAATAGGATTATGCCATTCATTGAATATTCCGAACGTAAGGATTGGTTTGATCTCATTGACAAATGGAAGAAGAAGTATCCTTGGACCTATGCAAAACCAAAGGCCCCCAATTTTATATTAAAACCACAACAAATTATTGAAGAGTTGGACCGTCAAACACAAGATTACAAGGAAAACGTCATCTTGACTACTGGTGTTGGGCAACATCAAATGTGGGCAGCACAGTTTTTTAGATGGCGATATCCTAGAACTATGATTACTTCAGGTGGCTTAGGAACCATGGGTTATGGTCTGCCTTCAGCAATTGGTGCAAAGGTTGCAAGTCCAGACAAGGTTGTTATAGACATCGATGGAGATGCAAGTTTCTGTATGACTGGAATGGAGCTGGCAACAGCCGCTGAATACAATATCGGCGTAAAAGTGTTAATTCTTAATAATGACTTTCAAGGGATGGTGAAACAATGGCAAGATCTATTTTATGAAGAACGTTATAGTCAGACCAGAATGAAAAATCCTGACTTTATAAAATTGGCGGAGGTGAGCATGATTTTATTATTATCATTATGTACGTTTAATACAAAGATAATAATTTTATTTTGATATAGTCCTTCGGCATCAAAGCAATAAGGATACGCACAGAGGAAGAGATACCAAGCAAGGTGGCAGAATTCTTGGAGTATAATGATGGACCGATTGTATGTGAGGTTATCATAGAAAAACATGAACACGTATATCCCATGGTGCCAGCCGGTAAAGCATTAGGTGATTTTATTGTTCATCCAGATCTAAAAAAGGATGATTAAGGATATTGTTCTTTTTGAAGTATATTGTGCATTTCATTAAAAAAAAAAAGGGATAATACTGTAATATTCGAAATGATATTTATTGTAAAATTTATATATACACAAGTTTAGTAAAATGCAAAATAAAATATTTTTGTGTAACTTTCAAATAAATTTGAAATGATTGGCTGTTAAAATCTAGGTAATTCGAGATTTTTGTTAAACCGATTATTATACATTTTGACCTCAGGTTAGTTTTATTTTCGTCTTACGCAAAAGTCCAGAAAGGCGTTATCGTGATGAAATCTTTGGTAACCGGAAAACGCAGCAAGCAAACTGCAAGAATTTTTGTGTTGACACATAGTTAGCCTGGATTCTTTGCCAAATTTTAATACAGCTTGTAGCCGAAGACGAAAAAAGGCGAATCTGAAAATATCTCTTTAATAACGCGCGAAAATATTTACTTTCGAAACTTTTATATTGATTCTTCCAAGAGTCATTTGGAATAGGCAAACCATTCTTCTAATAATATTTATGTGCAATTATGAATTATCGTATCAGATTTTACATTAAGAATTCTGTTGTCAAGTTATGGCCAAATCAAAATACGAATACGTAAAACAGTTCGAAAAAAATGATTCTCTTCTTCCGAACACATGGCTAGTTGTTCGTATAGACGGCAGAAGTTTCCACAAGTAATATTTTAACGGGATGATTTCGTGATTACTCTACTCTGAATTATTTTTCGCTTTGACGCGTGTATTTACTTGAAGATAGATTTTCCGAAAGGCATCAATTCGCGAAGCCCAATGATCAAAGTGCCTTAGATCTCATGAACAAGTGTGCTGCCACTATAATTAATGACATTCAAGACATTGTACTGGCATACGGGCAGAGTGATGAATATAGGTATTGTGAAAAAAATGATTATAATTGTATAATAACCCAATTACTAACAAAACGCGCATTATGCAAGTTTTGTTCTAAAGAAGGATTGTAATCTATATGACCGGCGTGAAACGTAATTACGAATTTCCTTTAATTATTCTGATTATCGAGAACCTCTATTAACAAACAGTTCGACTATATCGTCTCATCAGAAAAATCGTATCCACTATTGTCAGTTTATTTACCTCAAGTTATGTGTTTTATTGGAAAGATTATTTCCCTATGAAAGAACTACTTTACCCTCCTTCATTTGATGGACGTGTTGTGCTATACCCTGCTGACAATAATCTTAGAGATTATCTGAGCTGGAGGCAAGCAGACTGTGTGTTTCTCTATATTTTTATTGAACTGATTTCGTATAACTTTCAAGTTTATTCATATATATTTAATATATTTACTCTTTTAGGTCACATTAACAACTTATATAACACGTGTTTTTGGACTTTGGTTCAATCCGGGAAGACTAAATCTGAGGCAGAAAATGTGTTAAAAGTATTGCCAACTGAATTACACTTAATGGATTCCTTTCCCCTAACTTACCCTTATTAAATTTGCAAAAAGGGAACGGTATCTTCAGAAAAAAACGAGTTACTATTTTCTCAGTTTAACATTAACTACAATCACTTGCCAGAGATGTACCGAAAGGGTTCAGTGATAATCAGGCGAGAGGTAAAGAAGAATTATCTTTAAAGTTTGGGCATTTGTCTATTGGTTTGTCGAAATCTGTCTTACATTATTAACATTCAGATTGATGTGCAAATAACCAACCAAAAAGGAGTTGAGATTATGAGGAAAAAAAATGTTGTTATAACATTACATGATGACATCATTGGCGATAAGTTCTGGAAAGAAAACCCCAAATTGAGATTAGCATGATCTGAGGAAAATATATTGTATACATCCTAAATAAAATATTAGATAATGGTTGAATATTTAATTTATTATAATTATTTTTGTTTGTATATAGGTTGATAAACTATATAATATTTATTACTGAGTATATTTTAATTAATAATTATTTAAATAACCATTTCTATTGATTAATATAAGAAATTAATATTGGTAAAAATTTTTACAATAAAATAAAAAACAACAAATTTTATTATAAATATTTTAAAAATTATCAAGTTTCTATATACTGTATAATAAAGTTGTTATGATTCTATTTCTTGTGATTGATTAATCTAAATAAATTACAATTTATTATATATACGAGTTTAAATAAAAAATCAAAACAAATTAATTATATAAAAAATTCTTTCTGGCTAATCCTTTCACCAATTAAGAAACCAAATATTTTCAAGAAAGTTTTATTTCTATAATAACAAAATCTATGCACTTAACATTGATCTTTTAATTAGTAAAATAAGCAATAGTTTTTATTTAGAAAATCTATGGCAAGAACATTTTATAAGCAAAAAATTAAACAAAAAAAAGCCTCTTGTTTTTTTACCTAGACTTTTTTTTCTTATATTTAAATGTCTATATAATGGTAAAATTAAATTATTCTTTTAAAAAATTTTTTATTAATATTATTTAATGCTTAATTACTTTAATTTGTCAACATAAAAGTTGAATTTTATTATTTCATATACGGAAATGTTGTCACATTTGTTCTAGCATGACACGATTATGTCGCGATACTACCCACTTTATTCAATTTCTCTTCATTCCCAATTTCATTTTTCTGCTTTGTAATCTTGTGTTCTGCATTCTTCCTCTCTTTTTTCTCTTCCTGCTCCTTTTTCTTTTGCGCTTTTTTCGTCTCATTAATCCTGGCCAATTCTTTCAATATTTTTTTCCGCGCACCCAACGTTATTTTCAGGGCCTCCAGTTTCTCATCAGTCAATTTGCGAATTTGATCATTATTCATTCTCTTAAATAAAATACCATATTTCATTAGCCGTAACATTTTCAACCATTCGGTGAAATCCGCTTTTTTTTTTAAATAAAGGATATCAAGTTAAATTCGAATAATGACATTGGAACCAAAGAAAAAAAAATATATCAACTCGATCAAATACCTTCAAATAAATCCAAATTTTTATTATCATCCTTTATCCTTCCAATCCTATATTTTTTAATTCGTTTCCACAACGGAAGTTTGCTGAGTTTGCTAACCTCCTTCGTGCCTTCATTCTTAACTACCAAATTAGTATCATCAAAATAATCTGGACTAACGAATATCTGACGTCCACTGGTATCATTAATTTTAGAAAGTTTATGCATCTTGTATTCAAATGCTCTCTTAGATGATGATTTAACTCTTTTTGATTCATCTACGTATTGGTCATCGCTAATTTCGTGTTGATCAAATTTACCTTTCTCATATTGACCTTCTCGATGAGATGAATCATTTTCCTGTTGAATTTCAAGACTATCTGGGACCGGGGATCTAAAAACTTTACTATTACTACTACTACTGTGTTCTTCCCTTCCATCATCATATTTTCTACTGTGATCGCCACGAGAGGTCAATCTTTGACTTTTATTAGTTTCCCAAGCTCCCTTGACATCTTTACTAAAATCCAAATCTTGCCTGCTGTCAAAAACAATAGGTGACTTTATTGTTTCCCTAGATTTGGACTTCGTTTTGCTAAAATACTTACGTTCCGTTTCTCCCTCACGAGGACGAATGATGCGTTCTAACTGTTCTGAATTGTACCTCGGTTCTTTATCATGATATTCTAATGACTCATCTGTTTTTAAATAATCGGCATTGCGAACGCGTTCCGTCGAAAGTGAATTATTAGTAGATTTTAGGAGAGGATCTTTGTGACGCGCATTATAGTCTGAATCATTTAATTCTCGTCTCACGGTAGAATATGAAGACCGCCTTTCATCATTGTATCCATCTCTCTTAACCCTCGTGTAATAATCGCGTTGAAAATGATCAGGAAAGTTATATTTCAAAAAAGGATTGAAGTGTGTTGACCATCTAAAACCGTTTCGAGGAGAATTGAGTTGTGTTAATATAGTGCAATTGTTATCTATTGGTTGATCGGAACGTGTTAATGAAGAAATGCAACGAAGGGGAATGAATGAAGCTTGAAAACCGAGGAATTTTCCTGATAAATTCAGTATCTGATGAGTTTTTCCTTTCGGAAAACCAAAAGATCGAGACATTTGTTATTTATCATTTGATGGATTAAAAATTTATACACGTGTATTCAGATAAAAAAAAAATTTTTTTTAGAAATACAGTATATACAGCATTTATTTATTAATATTAACTAGTGCAACCAAATCCAAGTACAATTTAGTGTGATCTACAATTTCGAAATTTGAAAACTTCCTCTCAATTTGAAGATGGACGCGAACGAATACCCCGAAGTGATAATTGACTCTTTACCGTGTAATTATTTTCTCAAGTTATTAAAATTACCAGACATCTTTTAAATCGAGTGTCATTAATCGTGATAATTTATTGAACATATCAGATATCGATCAAGAAATCGATTACGAAGGTATGTTCAATCATCAAAGTAGTTTTGCATCAGGTTCAAGTTGCTCATGCCCAAACGACATTCCTAGGAATGCGCGCAAAAGTCGATAAACTTGTAGAACAAGAAATGCGAAAGCGTACAACTTCAAAACGTGATCAAGCATTAAATTTCCCTTCAAACTTCGAATTTTTCAAAGTAGTTATTTTATGACTAAACATCGGTGATGGTCAAACATATCATTATTATAGTAACTATTTTTTATTAAATAATAAAGGGTTAAACTCTTATCGTTTCTTGTTTTCCTGTAGGATTCGCCTATACTTGCAACTGAATATCAACGTGTTCAACAAGGGAAGGCAATTGCAGAGATGGATACGAGTAGATACAAATTGTCTGAACCTGAAGATAAGGAAAACGAGGAGTTATGGCAGAAATCCGTGGATAATTCAAAATCTCAGCTTCAGCATCAAAATTTGAGGTAATCATTATAAACGCTATTAAAAAGATTTTTTATCACGAAGATAATACCCTAACGTGAACTTTCCATTTTTAGATTATTTAATTTGGAGTTACTACAAAAGTACGGTGCAAACGCGTGGAGAGTTCATAATTTTCAATTAGAACATGAACTACAACAATATCAAAAATCTTTAGAAGAATACCGCCAAAGTATCCTGGAACTTAATAAACAAAGAAAAACAGAACAGGTAACGGGGGCAACTCGAAATTGGTAGGTGTAATCGTTAAGATAGGAATTAAAAAAAAAAATTTTTTTTTTCTTCTTTAGCTTCAGGCGGGCAGTCAGATTGAGGCGTTGGAACTCAAATGGACTGAGATGATTGGTCAAACACTTCAAGTGGAAGTGGCATGTGCTTCCCTGGAAAGCGAGGTGCAACAATTGAAACAATATGAGCAGCAATTAATTGCACGACTAGAACTTGCAAATAAAGATGAAAATAAGGTCGAATCGGAAGATGCAGCTGAGGAGGAAAAAGAGACTTGAAACCTTCCAATGGAAAATGCGATGTGTACATAAAAAAATTTAGGTTTATTACTATAGATTATATTATAATAGAACTTTTAGTGAATCTATCTTTTCTTTAATATTTGTCAATCATCTTTACAAAACTATTTTCAATTTCAAAATTAATGGTTGAAATCTCGTTCGATCTTTCGTATGACCGAATTATTATTTGTATATGCCGAAGTCACCGATCAAATTCAATGATGAAATTTTTACCGGAATCAATCGAGCATTCTTCTTTATTAAGTACCAATTAAAAAAGTAATGTTATTTGCCAACATCAAGAAAGAAACTGCAAATGAGTAACCGACATTGATTATTGAATTAACGGTAGCGACGCAGAGACAGTGTGTTACGACGAAGCCAACTAGCATGACGACCACCGCCTTTGGTCTTGTTAAAGCGATGTCCTTTACCGATACCCCGATTCTTTACACCAATGCTAGTAAGACCACGAGCTTCACGGTGTTTATGTTTAGCAGAAACAATCCAGTTAATCCTTGGATCACGACGGATTGCTTTGTGACTAGGATCAACAAGAATTACTTCGAAGTATTTGTAAGTGGCATCCTATAAACATGATAGATAAAAGTAAATCCACATATCATCTTTTTAGATAGGGTGATCGAAAACACATGAAAAAGCTCACCTGATTAACCCAATATGAATTCACAACACGTAAGTTGCTACATTTACGACCAATACGTTCTTCAGCAGTCGCCTTGAGGGAACGTTGATACTTGAGTTGGTTCACACCCTGATTAACGGGTTTACCGTAAGTAGCTCCCTTAGGTACAGGACGCTTACGACCACCACGACGTACTCGAATACGATAGATCACAAATCCTTGTTTTGCCTTTATCATGGAATCATTCAAGTATATAAAAAGTATATAAGAAAACAATCACACAATAATATCATTCAGCAACACATAGGAGATGTCTGATAGATCACCTTATACCCCAATCTGCGTGCCTTATCAGGCCGAGATGGGCGAGAAGCTCGATGGATAACATTCAGTTGTCTTCATTATTCGAATTTCCGTTTGTTTGTTTTTTTTTTAAGGCAAAGAAGGAGAAAAAAACATACCGTACGCGGGATATTTTAATAATTTATATTATATAATTCGATCATTGGCAATGAAATAATTTACATTTCCATATTTATCAATATAATATATTTTTTATCCCGCATATTTTTTCAAAAAATATGGACAATGTAAAATTATTTATTTCATGCCTAAATAAATGCACTCATGGAGGAACAAAGGTTTCCGTGATGACGGGAGAGAAAGAGGAACGGATAGTCTACCTGTATTCCCAACATCTTACGCGGAGCAAGAAACGAAGGACATCAGACTGCTTCTTCTTGTAAAGTTCTTCAAGATACTTGTATGCTTTTAGAAAGAAAGAGACATAATGATGGGAATATTAGTAAGTATTGAACCAGAGATAATGAAATGAGTGCCTCTCTAAAGTTTTAATACGCACCACCCATGATCGAATCCCTGACTTAATTCTTGACTATAAATTAACGGATACAAGAAGTTTTCTTTACTATCTTCACAAAATACAGTAAAAAATTCTTGAAGCCTCCGATTGTAACCTTCCTAAACCGCTTTGGTAAATGATTCCGGAAATGCGGCAACTCACCTTCAAAGATGAAGCGAGAGAAGAGAAGGACTGTCAATTGACATTCGGTAAAGATTATAACAAAAATTTTTATCGTAACACAAGATCATGCAATATAATGATTGGTTGTGCTTATCGACGAATATTTAGATCCTTCTTGAATAACTATCATTTTTACGTGAAAAAAGTATATGCTGTATTTCTTGTTAATTTTTGTCTCGCGGTTGCATCAAAAATTACACTAAATGACTATACTTATTAAATAATATAGTGGCTAAGAAAGCTAAGACAAGGTGAAGTGAGTTTGAAAAAAATTTGATAATTTGATAATTTGAGATTTGCAGATAAAATTTATCTTTGAATTATTCACACAGAACCACTATAGTAAAACTAGTTTCGACGGCAGGCACGGGATATTTCTATACGCGAACCCGGCCAAGACAATTACCAAAATTATCTTGTCTTAAATACGATCCGAAAGGTGTGATGATCGCAATAGGAATAGATGATTATGTTTATTTACAAATAGTGAGATTTTATTCTATTATGAACCCTGACTAATTTAATTAATTTTGATTTATGAAAAGTTCGTAGGCATGTCTTGTTTACAGAACAAAAAATTAGATAATCTTAATTTACTAATACTGTTTTAAGAGAAAAATTGGAATTAAATCTCCCTTTTATCATCTATGCGGGTATTTTACACAATGAGTGTTCATCGTCAAACTAGATCCATGTTATCCGAGTGACGAAGCAAACATCGGAAGAATGGAAATATTATTGATCACTAATATACTTCATTATGTAGTTTTGTTTTTTTTCTCTTCTTCCTTTTTCTGTTTCAACAAAAGACGCTTTCTTCGCAAGAAACTTGATGTAAAAAACGCGTTGGAAAGAATAGGTCAATTCGTTCAAAAAAAAAAAAAGAAACATTGAAATATATGCACGCTGGACCTACTCCTCATATTCGCACTTTTCATATGCATGTTTCTCTTTTTCACATTTCCAGGGTAAAAAATTGTTTTTATAACGACATTTGTTTAAGGGTATTAACAAATGAGCACAGTAATCTCGCCATTGCAAAGGTATACCCGCCTCGGCCATCTCTTGTTGTGTAGCTATCATAACTATTGATATAACAAGTATGATAAGTCAGAGATTGATAGCATTTCTTTTTTTTTTTTTAATACTAAAGGAAAGTACCAGGATTTTCATCGTTATCATGGAGCTCGTGAGACTCGTAAGATTCTGTTTGAACCATCTTGCTGCTGTGAAGACACTATCCGCACCATGCTTTTTAAATATGTATCGTATTTAAAAATCGGGTTTTTTCGTGTAACAGATAATTACAAAAAAAAAAAAATTTTTTATATTAATATAATTAATTAAAATTATTTTAGTCATATAATTATAAAATAGGTTGAATTTTATTTATTTTATAATAATTAAAAAAGTGTTGTTAAAAATAATTGATTTTTTTAAAAATATTTTAATATATTATTGTTTTAACAAATATTAAATAATTTAAATAATTTAATTACAAATAATATATTATAAGAGAAAGTTTTATTTTTTAAAAAAATTTCATTTTATTTTTAATAACTTTAATATGAATATATAAAAACAAAAAAAAAAAATTTTTTAAAACTGAATAAAAAATCATTTTAATAAAAAAAAAACTTTTTTCCATTTCCTTCAAATATTTAAAAATTTTCTTTTTAGAAAACTTTTAAGTTATTTACTTTTTCCTTTACTTTTTACTTTTTTCTTTACTTTTTACTTTTTACTTTTCTTTTTACTTTTTTACTTTTTCTTTTTCTTTTCTTATTCTTCTTCTTTATTTTACATATTTTTTTTTTCAACATATCCTTATTTTTTTTTTTTTTTTTTCCTACTAAAGTAAGATTTTTTTTTTCCTTTAAAGGTTTTTATTCTAAGCTTATCTTTCTTTTTTAAAATATCAATTCATTTTATTATTTTTCTAGTCAACAGATTTTTTTTTTTAAAAAAATCATTAAAAAGTAATAATTTCCTTTAAAATATAGACTTTGAAAAATTTTTTTTCTTTTATAGGTTTTTAAAAAAAAGATAAACAGTTTATTTTTTTAAAAAATTAACATAATTATTATTATTAAATCTAATATTGTTTACTTGTTAATAGTAAAAACTAAATATATCTAAAAAACTATTATACAACTATTATTATTTGAATTTCCAAGAAATTATATTTTATGATATTTAGAAAAAAATAGTAACTAATATCAATATAATAATATTAGATTATTATATCTATTATATTAGTAATTAAAGAATCCAGTAAAGTAATATACAGTATAATGATTAGAAATTCTAGTTATCTTGCAAATAAAGTTAATGATAACAATACAAGTTTCTTACCTATTCCTTAATAATATAGGTTTATTATATAAGGTTAGATAACAATATCTATAAAAAAGTCCAACTTTATTATATCTAATAAATTTTTTCAACAAATTATTATTATATATTCAAACACTCTTTCTTTATTTTTTTTTGTTTTATACTTGTACTAAATCTTATTTAAATATTTAAATAATACAATTATATATATATAACTTTTTGTAAAAAACAGTTATGTATTATATACTATATATAGTATAAGTATAATTTTTAAAAATTTTTTAATTTTGTATTTTATCTTATAATTAAATAAAAAAATTATTAAAATTTTATAAAATTTTATTTAAATATATTTTAAAACTTAAAAATAATATAATATAAATTTTTTTTTTTTTTTTTTTTTTTAAGGGCTAAGGTGCGATACATGCGCAGATTTTATTTCATAAATCACATGATTTACAAG